ATGTTCCACAAATTCTGAGCTCCATTTGTGTTTGAACTTGACAACAGAAGAGGTAGAGGGTTGCCTGCTTCCTCCAGTTGGAGAGGAAACCTCAGGGTGACCTCTGGTCCAGGTCAGGATTTTACATCATCCCCAGTGAAAGTGATCTGTGATTAGGTGCAGACACCTCCTCTGCTGGGTAGGGCCACATTCCTTAGTTACAGATGCACCTATCTCAAACTGAAGGGCTGCTTTGATTTACAGATGCCTGGGGCACACCAGAGTAGATAACTAGAGTCACCAGAGTGCTCATCTCGTTATGTCCCTAACTCCAAGATGTGGCCTCCAATCTGGCCTGCAAAATGTCACATGCCCAATACCACACTTGCACCTACTCATCAAATCTGTGCTGTAAAGGGGGGTATTTATAGTTCGGCACCAAAAATCCTTGCCTTCTTCAGTTGAAAACGAAAAGAATATACCTTGTTATGGTTTCCAAAATTTCTTCAAGTTTTTTTTTTCTTACCATTTCTTAGGAACAATTAAAAATATCCTCTTAAAAACATGAAGTGCTGGGGCTGGAGAGATGGCTCAGCCGTTAAGAGCACTGACTGCTCTTGCAGAGGACCTGGGTTCAATTCCCAGCACCCACATGGCAGCTATGAACTGTCCTTAACTCTAGTTCCAGGGGAATCCGAAGCTCTCTTCTGACCTCCGCAGCATTGCATGTCACATACATGCAGGCAATACACTCATACACATAAAATAAAAATAATAAATAAAATATTTTTAAAAAAAATATGAAGTGCTGCCAGGTACAGTAGCATAGGCCAGGCCTTTAATGCCAGCACTTGGGAGGCAGATTTCTGTGAGTTTGAGGCCAGCCTGGTGTACATAGTGAGTTATAGGACATCCAGGGCTACCAAGTGAGACTCTGTCTCAAAAAAAAAAAAAAAAAAAAAAGCTGTCAGGTGGAGCAGTAGCCATGTGGGAGTACTTGCAGTAAAAACCTGAGTTTCCGAGTGCAGAGTCCCAGCATCCATGTACAATCTGGGCATGGCTGTGTATACCTGAACACCAAGTGTTGTGGGCAGAGACAGGCAGATCCTAGGAGCTCGCTGGTCAGCCAGTCTAGCCAAAATGACACACTTCAGGTTCAGTGAGAGATCCCGTCTAACAGAATAAGGCGGAGTGATAGAGGAAGAAATCTAATATTTTTCTTTGGCTTCCACATGCGAACTTTTACATACCCATGCATGTTTATAAACACACACACACAAAAGAAAGAAAAAAAAATCTTGAAGTGCTTATAATTGAAAAGGGCTTCAACCTGATCTATATGCGGCTATCTAATTGTGATAGTTTTGAGCTCCTAGCATGGGGCACCTTACCCCATGTCTTCATACTGCACCTTTACTGCAGAGGACCCCCTTCCTATGCACAAAGCCCAAGTAACAGGAAGGAAGTGGAACAACAAGAAAGCTATATATATTTTTTTGTTTTGATTTTTATTTGTCCGTTTTATTTTTTTAACTACTCCCAGGTCATGAAATCTTGGACAAGTTACACAACTTTTTGAGATTTCATTTTCCTGATCTGGAAACGAAGGTGATTGCTGCCAAGAGTAAGGTGATGGAGATGTCAGGGTGCAGAACAGGCCTATCAGAAGCTGACCCATGCTCCCAGCATCCTCCCTGAGTGAAGTCTGTCCTCACCAGAAACACTGGGCTCTCTGCTCTGTGACTCTTTTCATCCAAGTTCACTGTTCCTGGTATCACTGTTTCAGGACCTCCCTAGAGAGGGAGATACATCAGTCTAATTCTAGCAAGTTGTAATAACTAACTGATATCATTTAAAGAAGTTACTTGCAGTAGAAAAAGTTGCTAAGAATGGAGGGTCTGCAAGTCAGAGAGAGAGAA